TTTTAAAGACCCAAGACCACTACAAGAAAGGTAAGTGGATTTAAAATGCCTACACTTATTTGGAATTTTTTTATTCATTTTTCTATTAAAGTAATAAACTCAAAGACTTTTACTGCACCTTTCAAAATGAAAACTTGAAGACTCCTGTGATAACAGGATCAGGAAGTAAAAAGAGGATGTCATAAGGATTTGACTTAGTCATCTCAATATTCAGAGAAGCTCTTATTTCAGAGCCTTGCCACTTTCACAGAAAGCGTTCCTGCATCAACTATGAAAACTATACTTAGGCTTAATTTTGCAACTATATAAACTCATCCTGTGGTAGCAAACCCTAAATCATAGGTTCTTTAGTTTGGTTCATGTGATTTTGTTTGCTTTGTTTTTGGTATTGGTGTGAAATGGGCAGTGCTGAATGAATTATAAAACGCTTACAGTTTCTCTACTGTGTGCTAGTTTTCTGCTGATGTTAAAGGAACTTGAGTTGCATAAATTGAAAGTAAAAACCCATGGATGTAGTAAACATTTTGTAAAATTATGCTTTACATTCCTTTCTAAGTAGACATAGAAACTTTACATACTGAAAAATTGTGATGAACCAAATATTTCAAGGTTGTAATTTCTCCCTATTGAGAGACACAGAAATTTTACATACATGAAAACTATAACCTCAGCATCTATTTCAAAAAATTAAGAACAATCATGCTGAAAAGTAAGTTAGGAAATGTTTTATGTGTCTCTCCCACTCTACCTTAAAATTCAATATGACCAGAAAATTAAGATATTTTAAAATTAAAGTTGTAATATTTTCCATAAAATTCACTTTGAAAATTGAGTATTGTAAAGCCTTATACCATGTTTAAATGGAATTATTGCATGTGTGGATGTAATGCTACACATTAATGAAATTTTGCATAATTTTAGTTGTTCTAATTACGTTTGAGTAATTAATATCATGTCAATTAATGGTAACTTTTAAATTTTATCCTGTGAGTCTTTTCCCACAGCATGAAAATGAAAGTTTGATTTTGTTGGATAAGAAACTTTAAGGGCCTTTTAACTAAGAATATTAGGTAGAGCACCAAAATCAAATACGAAAAAAATTTACATGACAGTCTTATAATTTTTATAATATTAAATAAATATTAATGTTAATAATATAATAGCCAAAATGCTCCACACATTGGAGTTTTTTTTTCCTCTAGTACTAGTGCTTGAATTTAGTCTTTACACTGAGCCTTGACTGCAGCCTTTAAAAAACTTCTTTCATTATGAGATAGGATCTCACTAAATCACACAAATTGAGATTGAACTTGCAATCTTTCTTCCTCAGTCTCCCGGTGTTGAAATCACAGACATGTACCACCATGCCCAATTCAACTAACCTGGGAGAAGGATATGCTCTCAATGTCTCCACTGTGCCTAATTACTGTTTTGCCTACTAGTGCCTAACAAAGACTCAGCATATTTGAAATAAATGTCTTCAAAACCATTTTCTTTGCCTAGGCCTGATATACAGATGTTGTGATCATGTCTCCAACATATTTATTTAGTTATGTAATCCATAGAGTAGTAGTGAGTTATTACATTCTGTATAATACGAAACACAGACAAAAAGAAAATGAAACGTGATAAAACAGAACGCCAGAAAACTCACCTTTGCTTGTATCTTTTGTAGGTGACTACAGGAGACTATTGACACCTGACCATTGTACTTGTAAACATGTTATTCAAATCTACACTTAGCCACTAAAGGACTTTCCGAAAAATCTAAATACGTACGATTCCCTTTCTCTTTGCCAACTGTTCCATACCATTCCATTCTATTCCAGTCCACTGTATTCCATTCTTTCTCCCTTGGATTTCTGCACTTCTGGAAAGCCTATGATGACTCCGATTTTCTTCTAACTAACTCTTTTGTCCTTCATGTAACTGCACACACTTCTCTAAATATTGATATTCAGTCACAGAATAGCAATCCTATAATTAAGTGACTATATAATTTTATGAACTAATCAGAACATTGTCAATAACTATGAAGTACACCAGGATAACAAGCATAAACAGGTACTATCTTAGGAAAACAGTGGTTAAAAGTCACTACAAAGTATAAAGAAAATAACCTTTCTTCAACTACTATCACCTTAAGGGATTTGTTTATCCAAAAGTTACTTATATAGAATTACTCAAAATTCCTACTGTTACATTAGAATGGTATACTCCTTCAAAGTTTCACATTAAAATATTTCATCTTTGTCATTGTATGAACACTTTATTTGGATTATTAAATTTTTTATTTATTTGAATTTTAGTTAGCAAAATTGTATATTTGTATACACAACACAATGTTTTCAAATATGTTTGCATTGTGAATGACTACATTGAGCTCTTTATCATGTGCATTATCCTTTTATTCTAGTGGTAAGAACACTCAAAATCCAGTTTTAGAAATCTTTGAGAATACATCATTATTAGTTATTGCCACCAGATTATACAATAAATTTTTTAAAATTTAAAATCCTTCACGTAACAGCTGGGTGTGGTACTACATGCCTGTAATCCCAGAACTCTGGAGGCTGAGGCAGAAGAATTGCTGTAAATTCAAGGCCAGCATAGGCTACATAGTGGATTCAAAGCCAGTCTGAACTACTTAGCTAGATCTTGTCTCAAAATAAAACAAAACAAAACAAAATCCTTCACATAATAGCAGAAAAGAATTTCTAGGAGCAACCCCCTTTCCGGTCCCCCTTCTATATCTCTCTTAGACAGAATCTATCTTTTTCTCAATAAATTTTTCCTACTCATAAAAAAATTTTAAAAAAGAATTTCTAAAAAGAACTAAAATTGACATTTTAATTTTCCTCCACCACCCCATTTCTTTTTTTGGAGGGACAGTGGCAAGACTAAAAAGTTATGAGAAGAAAAGTGCCAGATAGAAAATTGTGTGTGCATAGAAGTGTGTGAGTAAATGAAAAGGTACAGATTGAAATGTTCTCTGTGGTACACAGCACAGTAAAATTGGTATAAGAGTAACTTCAGTCAAGATTTACAAAGCAAACAATTCTCAGTTTGAGAAAGTTAAGATATTTTTCTATAAGTCAATTTAATAACATTGTTAAAAAACAAAAGGACTACTTTGTTTTTCATTTTGGTTTTTGTTTCAGTTATTATTAGGCCAAGTTAATGGTATCTGACACTTTTCAGTACAACATCCTTGTACTCTTCATATTAACTGCATAAGTGATTGGAGTTAAAGTTCTATTAGGTCAGAAAAACAAGACTTGGTTGGATTGAACCAGCTCAACTGAAATTAATGGGTTTTGAGCTATCACATTTTAGAATATATTTAATTTAATTAATTTAATTTTAAATTGAGTTCATTTCTCAGCAAAATTCTTAAGAGCACAGATAATTAGCTAAGCCCCAAATTTGCCAGCTGATTCTAATTTGATGTGGGATTACTTCTACATTCCTAATTACAATATTTGCTTTTCTAAAATCACAGATTCAAAGTCCAAGAAAAAGCTGCTAGCCAATTGCATAAATGCATCACAGAGAAAACATATATTAACAGAAATATTACAAGTATATGCAATATTCTTAAAAGAAAAACTTAACATATTTGATAGATCTGTAATTATGTTCTTCAGATATCAATTGCATAAATGCATCACAGAGAAAACATATATTAACAGAAATATTACAAGTATATGCAATATTCTTAAAAGAAAAACTTAACATATTTGATAGATCTGTAATTATGTTCTTCAGATATCTGTAAGTTCAATAGGGAACAAGTCTCTGCTTTTCCAAAAAGAGTGTATTCTATTGAGTAAAAATATTACAATACAGTGAATGTAACACTTTCTGAGAATGGTAAATTTAAATATTCTTTTCTATGTCAACCTAAAATAATGGAAATACTATCAAAATATCTTGCCTACATAAATGTTCTTTTTGAGAGACAGTTAGTAGAAAAGATATTAAGCCATTCATTTTCACCAGCATGGCACTAAGCAAAGGAGTACATCTAACTGCCCAAATATGTTGGTTAAATTTTTTGTCTGAAGATGAGCAAAGTATAATTTTTCCATGGAAAATATGTATCTTTACATTTACATTCAGCCAGAAATGCTATTATTTCTACGAGGAAATAATAAAAGAAGAAAAATGTTTTTATTTAGATTAGATAAGTTTGAAATGAATTATGAACTTATTCATTTCAGGATATTTTTTAAGAAAATAAGTCTTGGGGATGGGGATGTAGTGGTAGAGTACTTGCCTTGCATGCATGAGGGACTCACTGGGTTCAATCCCCGGTACCCTCTCTCCACACACAAACATGCACATACAAAAAAGAAAAAAAAGAGGAAGAAGTCTTAAAATTAGGTACTGCCTCGTTCTGAACTTTTCATATTGAGTTTATAGTAATGAAATCTGATGCCTAAGACATCTGAGTTATTAAATATGGAGAAATTGAAATTATTGTTGAAATTCATTGAGATTTCATGAATTGCTAAATTCAAAATTAAATGATATGTGGATAAGGTAGTCATTTTACACAAAGATACTTTCAAAACCTTTAAAATATAAGTCTATATATGTATTAAAGTAGTTACCTCCTTTAAGAGTATTACGAATTTTAAATGAATTTTCCATTGATTCGTAATGTGTACTAAAATTAATAAAAATGATAAATAAAATAACACTTTAATATTTACTCAGCATATAAAAGGTAACATATTATAATAGCCTTTTACTTGTTGATTCAGACAATCTCAAAATCAGACTTCAACAAATTAGTATCTGTGTAAATTGGGGCAAATTGCTTAACCTGGGAAGGGGATTTAGCTTAGTGGTGCCGCCGCCTGCCTTGCAAGCACAACGTCCCCCATTCGATCCCCGGTACCAAAAAAAAAAAAAAAAAAACACTCATGGCAGCTTCCTCATTGCCCAGGAAGTGGGCTGGTAGGCCAAGCTAGGGTGGCTTGTCTGTCCAGGACATGTCGAAGGTTTCCTTTAAGATCATGCTGACGTTGGACCCGCGGCTGCCCTACAGAGTACTCAGTGTTCCGGAAAGTACACCTTTCACAGCAGTCTTAACGTTTGCAGCTGAAGAATTTAAAGTTCCTGCAGCAACAAGTGCAATTATTACCAATGATGGAATAGGACTAAATCCTGCACAGACTGCTGGAAATGTTTTTCTAAAGCATGGTTCAGAATTGCTAATTATCCCTAGAGATCGTGTTGGAAGTTGCTAATGCCTGCTACTGGGAGCACACAGTTACCTTTCAGAATAAAAGTTGCTTTTTATTTTGGTTGTAAAGGTGAAATCAGGCATGCAACATACAGTGAAGACAACAAAAGTCAGTGAAACAATGAAAGGTGACTCCTTTGTCCCTTGTTCTTATTCATACTCTTCATGTGAAGAGGAAGTGGTTACGAATGGACAGTACTACCACCAGAGAAAGTCATACAGTGGTTGACTGCTGCCTCACAACACATGTAGGGGGTTGATTTGTGGTAAATGGATTATGCAACGGAATTTTTTACCTGGAAGATAATGCTGATATTTTTTCTGAGTATATTTGGAAAATTAAAATTTCCTAAGTGTTACATAATTGTCTTTGAGTTAAAAGTGTAGAAGGATTGATTGTGGATCATAGATGGCAGTTTGCTTGATAGCACCTTATAGACTCACATACAGTTTGATTCTTAAATATACATTTTCTGATAAGTATAATAGACATGCCATTGAATACTTAGCTATCTTTATCATTTACATTTTAAGTTTTCAACCTTAATGTGTCATATAAATTTTAATTCAATATCAGAAAACCAAAACTTTAATTTCTTGATCTAACTATTATGCTCATAAACTAATGTCCCATACCAAATCATTTTTTTTCCGCAGTATCTGGGATCAAACTCAGGACCCTGCACTTGCCAGGCAGACACAGCTCCGCTGATCTAAATAGTTTTAACAGTATTCTTGCAAAATCCAATATTGGTCATGGTGGGAGTTTACAATACAATAGAAGCAACCTTTGCTGAGTTACATATTTCTTTAGAATTATGTGTCTCTTTATCAGTTTCCTAATCCAATGTTCTTATGACAAAAACCCTTAAGAGATAACTTCTTGAAGATATTATTTCTGAATAGCATTCTGAAAGAATATTGTTAGAGTGAAGATCTGAAACTCACCACAAACCTTAAAGAAATACTGATCAGAAATGCTGATGTGTTATATTTATTGAAAACCTAACTTTGAGGAGGTGTTAACATTAGACACCCAAATGGATAAGAAGCTAGGAAAGGGAAGATGGGAAAGCTCAAATGATCAGGCTGTGGCAAAGAGGAATGAGTGGCAAGGACAACAGTAAAGAGTAACAGAAAACTGTCAAAAAATGTCACAGAAAATGCCAAGGGGATGAACAGAACCGTGGAGGGTATGTTAGAAAAACTGAAATGGAAGACAAAATACATAGAAAGCAAAGAATATTTCTTTTCCACATACAGACTTAAAAGTATCCATTATGAGTATTCAAAGAATGATGTCCATAATAAAAGATTATATTTGTGTTTACAAAGGAAATCAGTATCTGCACAGTTTGAGAGGTGAATTGAAGGCTCATGGTGATCAGAATTAGTGCTTGCCCTACTGTATTATAAATGGGGAACCTTCTAGAGCAGGGGGTTTGCCTTTCTCGTTCTTTTTAGAGATGGAAAGGTAGATGTTCAATAAATAGTTCTCAGTTTATTCATGAATAAAGGCTCTCTATGACCAACATTTATCTTAGCATTTTTCAGCATCTTTGCTGTTATGGGCCCCAAGTTTATTGAGGAAAAACTTTACAATAAAAGGCAACAGAAACAGCATCTGAAGGATGACATCAATACTTTAAGGAATTAACAGATATTTTTCACAAATCTGAGGAATAAACAGGATTTTCAATTATCACAGGAGAAAAGTTTTGCTAAAAAATAAATATACTACTAGTTTGGGATGTTTTTATTTTTATAAAAAAATCTGATGCTCAAAGACCCCTATTAGGCTTCAGTTGTCTAGGTATTTTTATATTCCCAATCCTTGAATTTTTGGCTTAGTTTAATTTTTTTTCCCATTTTTCTAGCACAGAAATCTGCTTGTTGTTTGCATGTATGTTTATCGTCTCTTGTGCCATAAAGTGATTTATCTAATATTTTGGCTCTTTGGTTTTGAAAATTAGACTTAGTTCTTAAAGTACTTTGTTAAACAACTAGACATTTTATTATTAAATGTGGTCTATAAATTCTCTGTGCAGAATTCTTTGAAGTATTGTATTTAGTATAAATTCCTTACTGGCCCATAGTTATGAAAATACATTTTGTTACATTATAAAATATTGCTTAATCTTTCTAACCATAAATTTCTTTAATAGAAAATGTAAGTAATGATAACACATGATACCATCCCACATGGTCGGTATGAGAAGTACAGAAAATTAAAAGTATAGTTCTTTACTTTGTGCCAAGTTTGAACAATTACCATCATCATTTCTAAAATGTTCATTTTCAAATAATATAAATGCTCTTTCAAGTTCCTTCTTCCTTCCTTGTGAACAGGATATTTAAAATTTCTATTAGTAAATGTTTGTGATACATAATCAATAAATTTATCACAAACTTTTGCTACATATGCATATCACATCCTGATCCTTTTTATTTCCCCTTCCCTTCTCCTCCCTCCCATCTCACTCATCCCTTGATCTTCTTTCCCTCTCCACAAAGTCAATTTCCCTATCTTCCCTCATGTTTCTTTTACTTTTCTCTTTAACTTATTTATACTTTGGGTTTCAACTATCACAGAAACCATACAATATTTAACCTTCTATATCTGATTTATTTCACCGCCAGGATTTCAACTTTTCTACAGTTCAATGTATCTACGTATTTTTCATTCTTTTTACTCTTAAGTCTCCAAGTGATGTCACAATTTGGAATGAGCCAAGTCCATGAGTCACACAAAGAGAGGTCCTCAAAATTTATTTAAGGACAAATACGTTGAAATTTTATAAAAGATAAACAGATTTTATTGTGTTAAGCACTGAAATCTTGGAATTGTTAGAACATTTACATCCATTGTGACAAATATGCATTCCAAATAAAGTAACATCTGCTCTGGGTTCTAGGAAATGAAAAGCATTATAGAAAAGTGATAAAAGTGACATTTGTGGAAGCAGAATCTCTAGTTTCTAAAGGCAAAGCACATGCAAAGGACAAGATCAGGGGAGAGAGACAAAAACAGAGAGTGTGTTTTGTTTCAATGCCTATAACAAGGAATCTCTGTATGCCTTGATATATTGTCTTCCTACTCACTCCTTGTTCACTAAGATGCAACCAAGTTAGCCTTCTATCTGTTCTCTAAACACACCAATCTCATTTCTGTTCCAGGACCTTCACAATTATTGTTTACCCTGCCAGAAATATCTTCTCTTGAATTTGTGTTTGGCTAACTATTATTCACCAAGATAATAGCATCTCATGTCTTATCTTAAAGAAAATACAGTCTAAAAATATCCTAAGAATTTATCTCTAATGGCAGCACCACTTCCATTTGCCACTAGTAGCCTACAGTACAATCTTCTTTGAGGAACTGCTTGTGTTCTAATGGAGTCACTTGCCATGTATTTGCAGAGAATTGTAAATGCCTGGATTTACAGCACTCAACTCAAGCTGATGCATAATTTGCACTTCATAGATGTCATGCAAGATCAGACTAAAGGTAACCCCTGAAAGAGAGATTTGCCGGAAATACTTTCTGGCTTGGTCTTCACCCCCTTTCATTATTCTGTTTTCTCTGTTTTCTACTGGTTTCTCCTGAGAGCACTTGGTTAATTAATCACTTATATAAAAGTTGTTATCTCAGGTCCATTTATTGGAAATCAACCTGCGGAAGATGGGATGTAAAAGCATTCTTGTACAATGATTAGTTTGTTTTAGAGCTGTCCAATGATTAACTTCTTTCCTGAAAGAAATGTATGTATTCAGTGAGTTCATTAAAAAGGTTTTTATTGAGAAGCTACCGTCTCAAGCAATGGAGTAGAAAATTTGGACACAGATGAAACCAACACTTAGTACCTTTGTTGATCATACAGTCTTCAATAGACACAAATTAAATATTTCTGTAGCCATGTGGTTATTTTCATGAAGAGAAAGTTCAGAATTTTATGCAAGCAAATATTGGAGAGAAGAGAGCTTGACTGGGTGTTTAGAAAAAGCATCACCACTCAAAGGGTGTTTAAACTGAATTCTGAAAAAGTAGGAGAAAATCAAATGAATAAAGTGTGAACATTTCCCTGGAGTAGGGGACAGCCAATGAGAGAGGCCTGGAAGCAAGAAAGAAGAAAATATGCCAAAATATAGTGACTGGCATAAGATAAAGAAGTCTAGCATAGGAATGTAGGAAAGCTGGGGAAGGTGTCAAATAATATATTTCTCTGTGGGTCATATTAAAGATTTCTACTTTACCTTAAAAGCAAAAGGAAACTCTGAAGAGTTTTAGCGAGGGGAAGGAACATTATATTCACACTGAAAAAAATAACGCTGAGTGGAATGTGCAGGTTAGGAAAGAGGAAAGTAATCATGAAAGATCTTCCAAAAATTGCTAGGATGATCTTGGTTTGGCCTGATGGTAATAGCAGAGATGGACAGAAATAAATGGTTGAAAGGAAGGCATTAAAAACAGTTGAACTAAGTGAAAAATAAGATATGGACAAGATAGAGGGGAAAGTGTCAAAAATCACAGTGCCATTCTGTTATGAACACCTGGGTATAAATTCATGTGAAGAGGTGTGGATCACAGGAAAAAAAGTAGATTTAGAGCCCCTAACAGACACTGAAGAATTCAATGACATATCCTTACCATGTCTCATGTACAATATAAATGTTATCACTATGAAACACCTTTAATCTGCATAGTTATATGAAATATAAATGCATGAAAATTCTAGGGGATTTAATAAAATTATTTTACTTGACTATGACTTTCTTACATCAAGGACCACTCCAAATATTAAATTCATAAAATAATATAAAATGTTTATTTTTAGCCTCCTAGAAAATGCAATGGCCATGAAGCCTTTCTTGAAAAGACTATAGGGCTGAAATAAAAGAGAAAGAAAGGAAGGGAAGCATGCCAAGAGAAAACAGAGAAAAATAAATGAAGAAGAATCAATGGATGAAGAAAAGAAAGATAGAAAGAAGGAGGAAATGAAGAAGAGAAAGACTTTT